TTACTGCAGCTGTTACCTTCTATATTTCTAGTATCACCATGACTGTACCACTATCATCATTATCATGACCACTGTTTTAAATCCCTAAGATTTATCTTAAATTTAAATACCTCACAGACTGGGGTATTTAAAATTTAAATACCCCATGCATAGACTATAATTTCTTATTTCTTCGATAAAATTCCCTTTCTTTAAAACAAATTACAAACCAACACCTGTGAAATTACTTTAAATATAAAAAGTCAAATTGGACATTGCTCTAAAATATAAAAAAGAAATTAGAGTAGTTCACAGGTTCAAACTCTAGAAACATCGAAATTGTATTGTACTGGATGTATACATTCAATTCTGCTCGATACGAGTCTCAAACAAGTCATCGAAAGCGACCATAATCAACGAAAGGCGACCCAGAGAAACGCGTTTGAAATTGAACTTATGAACCTTTCGGATGCTGCGGCTACATAATAATTTAGGCGCCTCGCGCCGCGACGAAAGAATATTCGGCGCGCGCGCGCGCGCGCGATCACGAAATCCAATTTAGGTCGAATGAGAACCGGCGGGATGAGAGCCACTGGCGCGTTCCCGCGGGACCACTGGGAGCAGTGGGAAGCCTCTGTGCCCGTGCTGGGGCTATTGCCGGCTACGCCACGGAGGGGGACTCCCCAAGGAGGTAATTACCCTCCCTACGTTCGCCCAGCCACCCACAAGCCATCGCAACTTCAACTCCTGCCGGAGTTACATGCTAATACAAAACCAAAACCGGTTCCCAACAGCTTCGAGCGCCGCCGAAATTTATACGCGCTCGCGCAAAGACAATCGTAACTATGTGGGTCGGCCCGGCTTACGTTGCCCCTTTTTGCGGCTGAAAAACCATCCCTCCGGTGTCAACAGACTTGGATCCTCGTTTTTACCCATTATTTTTACCTGCTTCTCGGGAACCGCGAGGTGTGGCCAATGGTGGGCGTCGGGAAGTAAAAAGCGAACTTTTTGGCATTGGACGATTTAATGGAATGAAAGAAGCGGTTTGGAAATGCGGGAAATTAGGGAAATTTGAGGTTACAATGCCAGTGCTTTTAATGCTGGTTTTGTTTGAATTAATTTCGGTAACCGTTCGCATTCTGCGAATTTTTTTGTTCTATTGTATAAGCGACATTCTGTGAGTAACATTCTGCTGAATAACAAATTGCTGTGTCTCTATGGAGTGCCTAGTTTGATGGATTTTTCGAATTTTTCAGAAGTCACTGGTGACGTAATTATGTAGGTTAGGTTAACAAGTTCTTAGAAATTTCAAAATTGTTTCAAAATATTTTTTAAAATCGATTAAATATTCTCTGTTCCTCTTGATAAGTATTATAAACTTTTAAAATGTTGTATTTTCTTTAACACACGGTATCGGAGATCTTTTTTTCAAAATTTTCAGACATTGATATTGAAAATCTGGCGAGAAATTTTTGCTACATTTTGTAAGATGAAATTTGTTGAAAAATTGAAAGTAACGAGATGGAAGTTGGTCGATTTAGATTGTTTAGAAAGGACGTTGGGATGCACGGTCGATGGAGTTGATTTGGTACTCGTAGTCACTTAAGGCGGTTGTTCATGGGATTTAGGGGTGCGATAATTTCGGTCGTCGACTTGGGGTGCGTTACACTTTCTTGGAGGATTGAGTTAGCTGTGATTGAGTTAGTTGAATATCGACTTAAAAAGATCTCTTGAAAAATCTTCCTTCCCGAAGAAAACCAAAATATTAAACAATCTTCTAGGCGATTCGAAAATTAAGTTAGTATCTGGATTAGGTTAAGTATGGGTACGATATGTTATGGATGTAGGGATGAGTGTATCAACAAAATCTGTAAAACCAAGTTCACTTTTCTAGGCTGCAGAGACTGAAAATAAATTTTATATATATATATAACAATCTTCAAAATAAAATCCCGTTTTTAATGAAAAAAAATTAAAGTCGGTCTTAAAAATGAACAATTTTTGTTTACCCTTGAAAATGAAATTAAAAAACCAATTGCAGTAAATATAAATCATCCTTTTTTCCCCTAACGTGGTCAATTGAAATCTCTGGAATTAAATTTTTTAAACGACATCGATAAAACAGGATACTAAAAGGACAATAAAAGCCCGCCAGTGATTAAAAAAAAAATTAAAACTAGGTTGAAAAATTAGCTATTTTCGAAAATTAAATAATAAATCATCCTTTTCTTCATCGCGAACAATCGAAAATCAGAAAGTCTCGTTCGATCGAATAATCCGCCTGGATCAGCGAGCGTAACGCGTTATAACGTAATGAGAAATCTAAAATTCCAGCAAGTGAAATGTTTTTTTTTTCTCCTGCCCGACCATTCACGTAGTATATTTCGGTGGCAACGACAAACTGATTACCAACAGCGTCCCAAGCGCGGCCTTGGAACTCCCAAAAGTCATACTCGTAAAAAAAGACTATTGTACACCGCGGACTTCCGGGTTATTTATACGAGTTATCTCTTCTCTGAAACCACGAACTGCGTTGCTGTAACGTTCCGCGCCGCCATGACTTATGAGCGATGATAATTCCACAAGCTTGAATGCGCACCTTCTCTTGGCCACTTGCTCCTGCAATTCTCCTTTGTTCGCCTTATCAATGAATTATTCCTTCGTTCGAATAAACAATTAACGTTCGAACAAACCAGCCTGCTGGATGGAAACACGAACGAAAGAGAATTCCGTGCGGAATTCGTTTCTATTATACTCGCGGTTCTTAAATAATTCTGCAAGACCAAGAAGTATATAATTTAGGTCCGACGATGACTATTCTGCGCTCTAAATTATTCTACGATCTTCCTGTACTGACCAGAGAATTAAATCAGGATTTTTAGCTACAAATTTGAGGTATAGACAGGGGTCTATGCTTCAGGAGGCATTTCTGGGGCTGACATATTTTAATATTTCTACTTGATTCGTACACTATGAAAGGTGGGGATAATTACTATACTCGTGATTAAATAAAATAGGCGACGAAATTTCTAATTAAATCGTTTTCTTGGACCCACAATGGTGGCCATGAAACTCACCCTTAGAAGCAACTGCGCCCTTCTATATAAAACTTTAAGCACCAATCAAATGTCTCACCGCCAAAATTTGAAAAAATTCCGAAAATCGAGTTAATCAGTTTATATGCTATAATATTCACTTCCAACTGAACCATCCAATGCCTTCATCTTTTCCATAAAACACACAAATACAATATATTCCTCAATCTCTTCTAAACACGTCTCCAAACTCTATTCCAATAATTCTAAGATAACCATAACGTTAACTGGTATGAAATATATTTAAATCTCAAAGGTTTGGAGAGATTTTTCCCAAAATTCAGTCGCTATTTTGTCTTACAGAGTCCAGCTGCATCGAGGATTCCAATTTACAATTAACAAAAATTCATGGTGTGGAAGATTCGGAGCATGATCGATACGCGTGTAATAAAAAGTAGCCGATCGAGAATACAGAGAGGAAGGGGTGGCGGTATCGGTGGTTGTTTCGTACAAGTTACGCTTAAAGTTGCGCATACTCCGGTGGGAAATTTGAATTTTGGCCAGTTTTCCTCGACCAGCTGGCCCAAGGTGGTTCGGTCTCCTATGCGCAGGAATGGGCTATGGGAGCCAATATCACCGGGGTATGGCTCCCATGGGACCGTCGCGGCTCTTTTCCACCCTTTCTCGTATTATACCCATCCGTGTAGCAGAAAGGGTCGAGCACGCTTACCGTGGCATCCGTGTATCTAAGTTGGTTCTGCTCGATCGTCCGAAATCCCATGAAATTTCAATGTGGTCCCCTATTAGGCTCCGTGTTGGCTAGAATTACGCCACTGGATTTGGGGGCTCGAAAAACTGGGGTATGAATCGGTGAAATTGATCGAGTTCGACTTCCATGTAGAGATTCTTGGAGTGTACGAGATTTTCGAGTCTGTGCTGTTGCTGATGGGTTCGTAGGATATTAAATAATCGCGTAATTGTGTCGGATGGGGGCTGAAATGGTTTCGCGATTTGGTAATCGAGGGATGATCGCGGGGCGCGTTATCGGAAGGGGAAGATCGAGAATGGAGGAAAATTCAACGTGTTGGGCCTGTTCTTGCATGCTGTTTTTATGCATATCGCAGCAGCAGAGTGGAATTGCCCGTGAGTGGAACGTTGCGAAAAGTGCAGCGACCGATGCATCGAATAATATGGGGCTCCATGTGAAAAAGGAGGAATTAAATTGCACTCTCCAGTCGCATCGATGCGGAAAAGTGCAATCGCAGCTTTTGCGTACGGGATAATAACGACTTGAATCCTGCGTTATGTATCGAATGTCTGTTTCTTTTAAGCTATTAATAGGAAAATGCTCAAATTTGATAGAATAATAATTTAAAAACGTTTCATAGCCAGTGAAAAAAAAATATAATATTACCATAAGCTTTGAACTATTAAATCTGGTAAAATACTGACTCGAAGCTTCTCTTCCTCAGTCACTAAATTAAAAAAATAAAATAAAAATTATTTCATGTGATATTAAAAAATTTATTTATGTGCACCTATTTATCTTCATCATACTACCCTATATTATAAAATATGGTAAAACAGTACTTTAAAACTTCCCTCTTATAGTCATCAAAAGAAAAGAGAATATTGTAATTTTTAATAATTTTAAAAAATATTCTTTTATATTTAGGTTAACCAAAATCTATAAATTTTTGTCATCTTAAGGGTAGTTGCATAATTCTAATTAACCTGTCATAATGTTCACTGCATTAAAGATATTGCTTCAGTGCAAAAATCTGATAATATACTTATTGGCTGACCTAATATTTATTTCCACCATACTACCCTTATTAATTATAATCCTCCACCTCTAATACATCTAAAAACCTATTATTTCAATATCAAACCCACTCTGTTAGTTTTCATACCAACAAAATTTGTATATACCAATTCAACTATTTATTTATTACCACCGACTAATTAAAAAATATTCTGTTTCAGAGTACCTGCAAGACGGGAGGCCGTCGTCTGTCCAAGGACTAGACCTGGAGAACCAGAACAGCCTCGACAGCGGTGAGTTTTAAGCATTCGCATAATTATTTCTGATTCCGTGAAGCGGTTCGTGGCCACGCTTTGCGCGAAATTTTAGCTCGATCAGCACTCGATGAAAAACGAGTTGAAAGAGGGTAACGTAGAGATTCTTAAGCAGTCTCGTGACCCATAAAAATCTCGGAGATCCCGAGAAGATCCTAACAAGCAGCGAGCTACGGCGATAAAGAGGGTTGTCTCCCTTTCTGTTTCTCGCTTTCGTTGTTCCCGGCTACGGGGGTGAATTTTTCAGACGGACATCGGCTCGTAGGGAGAAAGAACGCTGGGGATGTTAGGAGGGGAAATTAGGGTTAAGCTGGTGAAACGATGAAACGAAATGGGCTGTCGTAAATTTGTCGGAATTCCTATTTGTCTCTGTTAATCGAGGTGTTGCGGATTTTTTTTCGCGAATTACGACTTTGTATCTTCGTATTCGATTTTTGGTACGATTTTTTGACGCGTTTGTTTATGATTCTGGAACTTGTATTTTTATTTAGGACATCGCGATATCGATGAAGTAAAATAAGTTATAAAATTTGTTGGAATTTATTTCTGTCTCTGTTAATAATTCCGCGGATCTTTTGCAAGTTCTGGCTTTATGATTTTGTAATTTTTATTTAGGATATTGAGATATTGATGAAGTAATATAAATTATAAATTTATTGGAATTTATATTCGTCTCTGTTTATAATATTGCAGATTTTTTGGGATTATGATTTTGCAATATAGTGTTCGATTTTTAGTGCAATTTTTTAATTGGAATAAATTTATTGGAATTTTTATTGATTTCTGATAATAGTGATATTGCAAATTCTGTAGAAATTGTGAGCTGTAATACTACTTGATTTTTGCTAAAACTTTTTAGCGCGTTGTTTTAAAATGTGGTGACATTTGCCTTTGGGATGTTGCAATCTTTATGAAACGAAATGGGTTGTCGTAAATTTATAGGAATTTGCATTTCCCTCTTTAATCGCAGGGTTTTTAGAAATTACAGATTTCCACAATGTCACCGATGCTTTAAAATCTGCAAATCAGTAATTCAGTATCCGATTTTCACCAAAATTTTTGTATAATTTACTTCGTGATTTTGAAACGCAATATTGCAATTTCTCAGTGTCGATTTAAAGATCCCAGATTCAAAATTATTAGCTCGCTGATATTTAATTTGGCCAGCTTGAAATTTACTACCTTTCAGCTTCGCCATTTTGTACAATAATTTTCTATCATTTGACTTACGTATATCGACATTTTCCGTGATCGATTTCCAATTTCCAACTGCGGGAATCTTTAATTGTTTCATCATCTGAATCCTGGACTTGGTAATATTTTACCTTGAACTTCCACTCGTATTCAAGCGTGATTCAATGTCAGTTCGTAATATCAATCAGTCGTTGCGAAGTTCCGACGCGATCTTTTACCAGAAGGTGCAAGGTTTTTATCATGCTCCGGGGATTATCCGAAAATTTCCTGCGGATTTGGTTTATACGGCCACGAGTTTCCACGAATTCGACGTGCATACGCTTACGTAATTCGATTACCAGGGAGTAACAGAGGACCCAGTTCGGTTTGACTCGGTTTTACTCGACCAATCTCCCAAGTCCATTACTAGCTGCAGGAATATTGTCACAGACACAATTAACTATTTCGTCTGATTGATCTGGAACAGTGATTTGTAAACGGGAGTACGTGCGTTCCCTCGAGTGTCGGGTGTCGTACCTGGAATTCGAATTGCTTTATTTGCTACGAGACCAGAAAAAAAAAAAAATTAAATTTTATCTCTCATACGACAAAGGGATTAAATTTGGGATACAACGCACAGTTCTCCTTCGAGGAAATAGTTAAATAATTAAATATTTTTACTGGGTACTGGATTAAAAAGCTTTCTAAATAAAAAAAGGGACAATGAAAGGGAAGAAAAGAAAAGGTACAAGGTAAGGGTGCATCAACGTCAAATTAAAGAAACAAAAACCTCCATAATGAAGCAAATAAAATGCCTTTCAGCCCGTGAAAACACTTTGCCAAATAAAAAAGGGAGTAGCCGTAAAAAGGAAAATATAACAGGTAAAAGAATCTCATCGTCAAATTGAAGAAATGAAAACCCTCATAATGATATAATTAAAGTACCTTTTACTCAAATAACCTCGCAACACCTCATCAAATGAGAAAGGTAAATGGTAAAAAAGTGCCAACATCAAATTAAGAAAACGAAGACCCTTATAATATCATAAAATAATCACAATACCTTCTGTCCAAATAAACTCAATTACTACTCCGTATTAGTACAAAAGCATCTCATTAAATGAAAAAGGCAAATGGCAAAAAAGTGCCAAATAAATAATTAAAATATTACTTTATTTTATCCAAATAACTCACTCAGTAGTCAATACTAAAATAAAGTCACCCCTCATCAAATAAAAAGGGAAAAAGGTAAAAAATGCCAAAACAAATTAAAGAAACGAAATAATTAAAATCCCTTTTATCTAAATAACTCACTCAGTAGTCAATGCTAGAAAAAAATCACCCTTCACCGAATAAAAAAGGAAAATGGTAAAAAAATGTGAAAACAAATTAAAGAGAACAAGGTAATTAAAATCCCTTTTACCCAAATAACTAACTCAGCACTGGATACTAGGATAAAAACAGACTTCGCGAAATAAGAGAAGAAGGAATCAGACAGAACGAAAAGAAAGGGAAAAGGGAGGAGAAATTGTTGTATCATGTTCCATGATATATCAGACAAGGTCCATGCAAAGGGTGGCAGAATCGTAGCCTTTCGGCGAGGACACGCGGAACGAGAGCCGCCACTAAAGGGACACATTTATGTCTTCCCAGGAGTGCGTTAGCTAGCCAGGCAGCAGCCGCCGGCCAAAGCCAACCCCCTCGGCCTTATTCACGGGCCAGGACGCTCCTATCCCGCAGCAACTTCCCTTCCAACCGGCGAAACTAAAGCCGAATCTCTGTGTGTTGCTCTGGACGGTAATCGAATCACCGTGGTCGCATCACGATTCCGCGGAAACTCGTTCGTCGACGTCGAAGCCGCAATTTCGATTACGCCCTCGAGAAGTGCCGTCGTGTTTGCTCGGCCGGCAAACAACTGGACCGTTTTCCGCCACCGCCGCTTCTTCCATTAAAAACGCGTTCAATTTTGTCCTGCATGGTCCACGTTCGTCCACCACCACCCCTGTGTCCCGACGTTATGGCGGTTTTCGCAATGGATGACACGAAAGTTGGAATTTTGGCCTGAAAGATATATAAGATCGGCGGACCTGCTTCGATTTGCTATTTCGGATTGCAGATTGGCAAACTTCTGGTTTGGGGTGGCTTTGAGATTTTTTCGGAGGTGTGTGCTTTTGAGAAACTGCGAGAAACTTTTTAATAGTAACTTTGGACATGGCTCGATTTGCTTTTGTTTGGTTTTAGTTAGGTAGGATGTTGATTTGGGTTGGGTTTTCTTTCAGATTTGAGTCTATTAGGTCAGATTTTTCTACGAATGTATTCTCTTGAGGAATTTTTTCGATTTTAGATGATAGAATGATTTCTTTCGAGATTTGGTTCTGGTAAGCAAGATTTTTCTATGGACTTTTGGCTCCTGGAAGGCTGAGTCTTCTAGACCAGGGTAAAATTTTTGAGAAGTAATGTTATACCAATATCTCTACTCTGGAGATGGTTTAATTTGGTCGGTTTTCGTTTCAGATAGTAGGATAGGGTTCGGGGTGGTTCCTTTGGAGACCTGGTTCCACTGGGGTAGATTCTTCCATGGATGTGCGTTTTTGAGGGGTTGAGACTTTCAGACTGGGGAAGAATTTTTGAATAACATCATTATAGACCCTGAAGATGATTCGATTCGATATCTTTCTAACTATTTAGATATTTAGAATGATCAGTTTGGAATTGTTCTTCTGATAGATACTTTCTTGCACGAGTGTATTCTTCTGAATTAAGATTCACGCAATTTTACTAATCTCCCTTGGTCTAGACAACCAAAAACATTCCCAGACCCTCAGGTCGAAGTAAGATCTTGGGTGGCCATGCACTCTTCAGCGAGACCCAATCTTAAGTACTCGACTACTCAAGTGTATACTTCACTTCTTCAGGCACTCTGCATAAACATATCACGCAAAACTCCGGTTCCCATGTACCCTCATATCCCCAGAGCCGATGAGTCATCGGATTTCCACTTACCAAACCCAGCCGAAATTTTTAACGCGTCCAATTATCCCTAACGAAGCAATGTGACAACAATCGATCCAGCATCCCACTGGACACTCTCTGGATTCACGAGTACCTCGTGGACAGCTCGCGTCTTCCGCAGTCAGTCAGTCACTCGATCCCACCCCCTTCTATATATATTTTTTCTTCCTTTCATACCCCAGAGACCCATTGCAACTTTAAGCTGCCAGCATTACGAGCCTTCGGCTCGTTTCTCTCCGGATCGCTCGAAGCTTCTCCCTTCTTTCTGCTCTTAATTTCGCCCTGCCGTTAGTAGTAGCCCAAACCCCCACCCTCGTGTCCCTGAAACCACCCTTGGAATTCATTTCGAATGTTTATCCGCGCCATGGATTCGGTAGATCCTCATGATCGACGGATCAACTTACCCAACTGCGATTCGGTCATCCCCATGGTCTCCAAGAAGGGGTTGGACCGGTAACAAAGGGTTAGTTACTCGTGATTAATCGACCTCTGTGTCTTGCTCGGTTTGCAGCTCGGTTTTAACGCGAACATGCTTCGTTTAGTGGCGCTTTTTCGTTTTTGTCTCCTTCCTTTGAAGGAGGGCTGTTGATTGAGGCTCTTGCGTGGGCTGTTAATCACGTTTCGATGGGGTTGATCGATTCGATGGTTGTTTCGAGTTCAGAGTCGCTCGACGAGGGTGTAGTTGGTATTTTAAGGCAATTTTCAAGGATAGTGGATTCCCGTGTCACGAGCAGAGACGATTTTAAATTGTTAATTGGAGGAGTATTGACTTCTTGTTGGAGCGAGGAATTATG